ATACTTGGCCAAACCACTTTGTTTTTACACAAGTAATAGCTCATGCATACATATCTTTAATAATTTGAATATAAGTGTTATTAACTTCTTTCTTTTCAAGAACTCTCCATAGCACTTCTCTTGAAACTTTATCATATGCTTTTTCTAAATCAATAAATATCATATGTAGATCCTCCTTATTTTCTCTATATTTCTCTTTCAAATCTCTTAATAAATGTATGACTTCCATAGTCGACCTACCCGGCATGAATCCAAATTGATTTCTAGAAACATTAGTATCACGCCACAAACTATGCTATATAACTTGCTCCCATAGTTTTAAAGTATGACACCATATATATTATAACTATATGATTAATTAATTAATTAATTAATCCATGTTATGGCATAAAAGTTGTGAAAAAAGGGAGGTTATATGAACTCAGCTGTGCCTCCAAATATTTATTCAGAATATAAAAAAAAAATTCTTAATTTCAAAACAACCCACCTACTCCAAAGCCCATATGCTTCATTAGTATCTTTAACAAATAAAGTTGATATATAATAAGAGGAACAAGTGGGGCATATACCAGTGCCCACATTATAATCAAAGGTAAAACAAAAAACACTCAAATGGAACAACACCACAACTAACAACACATAATTGGCAAAAAAATGAAGTCATTATGGTAAAAAAGTTCTAAGAATCAATGAGTATGTATAATTTTTTATGGCCTTGTGGCTAAGGCAAGAGTAACTAAGCTCCACAACATGGAATGAGCTATGTACTAAAAAAAAAAAAAATAATAAGAGTAAGAATTTGTTCACCAAAATAATACGTATAATTGTTATTGATAAGAACACCGTGATAGCAAAAATGTTCGCAATTTTGAGATAATTTAAACTGGTCATCTAATTATAAACACGATATTTTGAAACATAACTCCTAAATAATACTTAATTATCCACATTAATGTTCGAGACACTAGAGTAAAAAAGCCTTCCTAGAATTAGGTAAGAAAAAGCCTTCCTATACTATTATCGCACTAGATAAAGTTATCAACATAAGACGAGATGCTTCTAATGGATTAAGATGAGTTTATATTAGCATAATAGGAAGTGTTGAGAAGCACTCTGGTTACCATTTTATATTATGGCACAAATGTTAACATCCAAAAGAATATTAAAGAGATTGTAAATCAAAAGTTATGTTATTTCTAACATGGAGAGACCAATCAACAATGGAACAAGATACAAGAAAAATTGTTCTCTCATACCAATATGCTAAAAGATTTGCATGCTTTCACTTGAGAGAAAGTAAACATGAATTCCTTCCAAAAATAAAAGGCCCTAACAAATTATTAAGTCAAAATAGAGCCTTAGCAATCATGCACTCAGTCAGCAAGAAAGCTAGCTTTGTGAATGATTTTTCAAATAGTTGGCATCTTCCAAGTAGATTAGAGTAGCATAGAGGATAAACCTAAATTTCTATTGGATTTGGGAAAAGTTATTTGTTATCCATAAATTGTATGGAGCTTATGAAAGGCATTAACATTAAAAAAAAAAAAAAAGCCATAGCAACAACTATTAATAATCTTGTTGGCACATCTAATGATGTATAAGGATCTAAAATAATATGCTAAGCAACTCCATGTGAACACTTTAATATGTTAAAGTTTCCTAATGAAAGAGAGTAGCTTTTACCATGAAATAACCAACCAATGTCCAAGTTTATCAAACACAAGAGAGCTATCACTATCCTCTAAGCAAGTTAATAATTTTTGTTTACTCTTAGAAGCTTTTCAATATGTTGTAGGTAGCATCAATATTTATTATATGTAAACAATAATAAATTAAAATTTATACCAACGTATGAACTATTTCTATACAAATCAAGAATGTTCATACAAAATAAGTAGGAAAAAAAAATTTCACTACTGAAATAAAAAAGTTGAGGTTGCGATTACTAATTTTGATGTGTAGCAATGATTTAAACTATCTCATTTAGCAGTGATTTAAAATGCCACATTTAATAATGATTTTTACAACTATTATAGATTCCTACGATTAAATCACAATCAAAATCCTCTTTGTCCTTTATCATGCCCTAGCCTAGTTGCAAATGTGCCCTAGCTGTGATAAATTCCCATGAGAAATGGAATTTCCTTACTCCATTAACATTTAGATCATGCCCTAACCCCTTCTCTCATTGACTGGCTGTCATGTTCTCATTGGTCTCTTGCCCTAATTGCCAAAAGAACTTCTCATATGTTTAAAATTGTGACTCACACACAAATCCTAGATCTTAAGTTGAGTAAGCTTATATGCATAGAGTTCACTTACCTAAACCTATTTTCTTGGTGCAACCCATCCTTTCGCTAACAATTGAAAATAGAGGTATGTTGAGCATTATTTTGTTTATAAGACCCAATTTATTTTCCTCAGATTGCATGAGAGATGATACTTCAATAAGGATTTGACAAGGGAAGAAGAGGGTTGGCATGCCATAAGTTATTTTACCTCCTCAATGTTTATAGAGGTAGAAAAGGGGAATTCCTTCCTACAAGCAATGTGGAACTAAATTCCCTAATTGATTTGGTAGGTTATTAATGAGCAATAAGAGTTATTGACTTACCATAAAGGGGATTTTAATAACCTATTAAAAATCAATGGCAATTCACTAAGCTAAGAATTTTTATTTCCAATAAATTTGTTCCTATTTACCTTGTAATGATAATGTTAACAACACGTCGATAAACTTAGGTGGCTCTCTCATATTAATGAGAACTTATTAAACATATTTAATTTGGAATTGTTTTTAAATCTATTAGTTATTTTGTCATGTGTTTTGGTGATAGTTGACTTTGGGCCAACTTGGTATTTAATATCCTCTAAGGTGTAATAACCCAAAATTTCATTAAAATAAATTTATTTGAAAATATGAAAAATTTGAACTGTAGTGCAACGGTGTTGCACTAGAGAGCGCTGCGGCACTCTGTTCTCTATTCTACAGTAACTTGAATTTTCGCATACAACACTATGATGATATGATATATAGCACCGTGGTGTCATATACTAAGTGATATATATATCTCATCATAATCCCTAAAGCCTCATTTGTTGCATTTCTTGTCGAGGATGTGAGGCGAGGAAGAGGGGAGAAGGGACAAAGAGCGGAGAGAAAGCTATTCGGGTTATTTTCGTTCATTGGAGCAATTACAATATTTCTATTTTCAATAATTTTCATTTTTTATTTTATCTATTTTAAAACTAATAAAATGTTAATATATCACAATTTAGTAAAATTTCATTGTTTAAATTTTGATATGTGGTAGATATTAACAGAATGAACATTTGACATTCTCATATTAAAAATTTCATTAGTTGGTTTTGTGTATACACATTTTAATTAAAATGAGTAGAGTAATAATTAAGTATGAAATGATTATGATTCAGTATATTACATATGTACATAAGATACATAATATGTATAAATTTATAATTCATCTAAACTAACATGCATTCTGATATAATAGATATATATTGATGAGCATACTATATGTTATATTTTTTGTACTGCATGTGCATATGTTATGTGATAATCAATTATGATATGATATATAATGTGGCATGAGTGATATATAATGTGGCATGATTGTATTATGTTTTATTCTTTTGTAACGATGAGTGTTTAATGATAGATGAATATTGTAAATTGAACTCTTGACATTTGTACATGAATTTTTAGAAATGAATATAGAATTAAATCAATGTATATGACTTGATGTAAATGATTTATAATTGCTTTCGCTGGACTTATTTAAATTAATGAATTGTTAGAGGCTATCATAGATTAATTTAAAGATAAAATAGACAATTATTTCAAATTAGATCTTATAGCATTACTTAGGCTAAGGTTATCAGAAATACTGGTGACTTTCTAAGACCTTTATAGCCATAGTCTCTTCTAAAGCTATTGATGTGAATCCTATCGCAATGAAGTATCTTGAGTCAAGATGGGAGCTCTTTAGATCACTCATATATTGTAGACATCTTAGCAATTATCACATTTCATTTCTCATTTTCTTACCAACTTGTAGTTGACTTTCTACATATGAAACCAAAGAAGTGTAAATGATCAAAATTTGTTGTGTTCTAAGACTAGAGGAGTGCATATATTAAGAGTGCAAATTGCTAGGAAATATTTGAATATGAGATAATTTAAGATAATACAATAGAAATATCACACACATATAGACATATAGAGTTATAACTATTCAATTCAAACCCTACATCTAATATCAAGCAAGCTAAGTATAAACATTCAAATATCTTTTTTAGAATTATTATCATGAAATAATCATTAAGAATTTAGAATATATTTAGTCTTTAAAATAATTTTCTTACCTTCTAAAATGTTTCAGATTCATAATTCACATCAAAATTTATACCCAATTATATATTTAGATGATAAAATGTATAATCCTATCAAATTTAGTTGAAATACATTAATAAAAAAATGAATATACAAAAATCACTTTCATTAAATTCAATTCTTGGATTTATTTCAAATCAGTTCCACCAAAACAGATTGGAGCATGAAATATCACCTTCTAAATGAGAAATTATTCTGTGCGGAGTCCGGACAGTACACACAGTGTATATATAATATGTATTAAAATTTTGTGCAAACTATATGTACACTTACAATCTGAATGATTCTTTCTGTCTGAATTCTGTAGAGAATAATTTCTCCTTTTAAATATAATTTTTTTTATCTGACAATAGTGGGCCGAAGCGGTGATGCCCACACCAATTTCATGGGCCCACCTACCCACGACAATACCATGCGGTGGTTTGCTGGGGCTTTAAGCGATAACAGCACAATGAGAAGAGGCCTAAAGACAAAAAACCCAAGCCTTCAGCTTCAAGCATAGATAGAATCTTAGACAGTAACCCACTACCTTGTATTAGGAGACATTATTCGATTATAATTTGACGGCGAGTATATAATACTGGCGAGAAAAACAGTAGCGTCTGGAGAGGAAGAAGCAGCTTAGAAATGCAATGGAAATAATTAGCTAAAAAGATTGAAGAGTCGGAGACTGAGAATTATTTAATTTAAAATAATCAATAAAATCGAAGAGTTATTATTCAAGGGGGGAGAGAGAGAGAGAGAATAGAGGGGAGAGAGAGTCTCTTCAGTGTACACCGACTCTGGAGTGGTTCTTCTAATCAAAGCTTACTCTTTCTCCATCCTCTCGGCCGCTCGCCGTGCGAGGCAGCGGGGGCTGAGTGGAGGGGCATCTTCGTTTGCTGTGCTGTTTTGGTCCACCCTTTGTCCAATCGGCTATGGACAGAAGGGATCGCTGGTTTTTAGGGTTTCATTTGTTGTGATACAACTCTGGATCTGCTCTTTCTGCTTGCCCTTTTACCTTCTGGTTTTCGAGTCATCTCGGCTGAGTTCGGGCTCTGCCATGGTATATATTCATCTTCTTCATTGTTAAGACTCTTTGCTAACTTTTTTTTTACCCAGTAGTCGGAAGTTGAGAAGGGGTTTGGCCTTATTTGGGCTTTTTCTATTCTACGAGGACTGATTGAATATTGCTGTTGGTTTGATTGGGCAATGTGAATGCACCAGAGAGCCATGGAGCAGGGTTAGGTATTTGAGTTGAGAACAGAAAAGTGCAGGCAGTATTTTACTTGGTTATGATATTGTTGTTTCTCTGGGGAGGATCTATGTAGACTATGATCGTTACTAGCATTGCACAAACTTGGTTTAAGTTTGGTTAGGAGGGCCATTTCATTTTGTGTTCGATAGTCTAGGACTTAGGTGCCGTTGTTTTGTTTTCTCTGCACCATTCAAGGATACTGCAACAAGTACGAAATTACCCTTTTTGCGCCCTTAAGTGGCTGCCAACCCGTGTTGTTTAGGAACATTTTTTTGTTGCTGCAAATGCAAATATCGTTCTTTCCTGAAAATGGGTCCGTGAAATGTTCTAAACTTCAAGCTTTATTATTGATTTAAAACTTCAGTAGGCATCAATCTAGATCAACTAGCAACATTGTTTACAGTTTTCCACCCTACCTATTTACTTGGAAGCTTTGGTAATATCTGAATAGATTTTTATGATTATTGTTCCATGTCTTCATTTCTGCTCCCAATGAAGCTATTATATTAACAATGAATGACTATCGATTGTTTAGTCTTATATCTAAAATATCTTCTAAAACTATGGTCATAATTCATAACCATACGTGACAATATATTGATTATGAAGTGCTATTGATCCAATTAGCTGTCTATTTTTTCAATCAAGCAGCGAAGACCTGGAATTATTCCTCCAGTTTTTTAAATTTCAAATAGAAATAGGATACAGAAATTTACTTCCGGTTGGTAAGGTCTTAAATTGTTTTTTGGCAAGGTGAATGCCCAACATCATTGTCATCATATCATCAACAATAATTGCCTTTTCCCAACAATCGATCAGATTTATGAATTTTTAGCCATTTATGTTGAGGGCCACTTGATGTGTTGATTCTATTTTGTGCAAGTACACAACTTTAGTTGTGATACCTTTCCTCTACTCATTTTTATTCCTAACAATTCCATATTATATGTGTATAATTATCTTATCGGTACATCTTCTTCCTTTGATCATTCATGCACAAACAAACTAAGTATATATGTATGTATGTACGTATGGATGTATGCATGTATGTATATAAACATAGATAACATAGTCAATATAGTTTCAACGTTGTAAAACTATGTTTAAATCTCACATTTTTATCTCCATTCTTTTGTGTTAATTGATCTAAGGTATTTCAATCTATTACAAGTGGTAGTATTTGGTCGTCCATCAATATTGAGCGACAACTATCAATTTCACTTATGCCAAAATGCTGTCATGCATTCAATTTGTTACTTCTCAATCTTATGGATATTATAAAGTTTCCTCATTGTTTTGGCTTTTAACCTAATTTAGAAGAAGCGTCACATGTTAAAAATATATTATTTTCAATATAGAATGTATCAAGTACTGATTTGCCATACTTTGAATAAATTTAGTTAAGGAAAGATTTAACTTAAGCATTTCCCTTAAAACTAACACAACTTTTAACTATTTTATTAATATACAATAATCCTTGTATGCTTGCCCTTTTACTCTTGTAATGAAATATCTTTCTTAATACTTCTCATTTAATTGTTTTTTATTTTTTTTTAAATTTTCTTGATGCTTATATATTTTGATATGATTTAATCATCTTCACACTCAACACATTTAACTTGATTAAGGTCTCTAGATTTCATTTTTCATGGTGTAATCATTTCATTTTTTTATTTTCTCCTTTTTTAGTACTAATTTCACTGTCAACTATATAGGTCGTTGTACCTTTGTTTTGATTTTTGTGGAAACACCTTTAAGCTAGTACCCATAATTCTGCCCTAGCTCACCCATGGATACAACCCAAAACTACAATCCCGCCTCTTTCGAGTTCCCTTTCTTTGGTTGTTCTCCCATCACAACAATCCCACCTATGGCTAGATTTCTTTCTTTCTTCATCTATGCCGAATGTCCTTTCCTTCTTTTTTGTCCTTGACAACTCACCAATCCTTATAACTCATTATTGTCACCTCACCAATCCTTGGTCTATTGTAATTTGTAATAAGTTTTCTAATTCATTTTTATTCTCTAAATTTTGTATATTTTTTATTGGAGGCTCTCCTATACTTTTTATAAATTCAACACAAATGATCAATTAAAAAACACCACAAATTCTCTGTACTTCTTATCAAGGTATTGTAATCGTGGGTTTTTTCTTAGCATTTTCAGAAGTTGCAACCTTCATTAATATGTTACACAAAATTTGCAAGCTTTCATTACTGTATCTATTTCTTCCTTCCACTTAATTTTCTTTTGTATAGCCTACATCGTTGCAGCTTTATTTTTATTCTTTTTTTAATCAATTACTACTATTATTTCCCTCACATGGATAACATCAATACTCGTGTTCGCTTTGTCTTAGGTTTATCTAGAATTGAGATCGATGTCCCAAATCTATTGGAAGAAATATAAAATATTCATTCAACATATTATTTGAATATAAAAATTACCTAAGTAGTCACAATTAGTTCTCTCATTTTGAAGGGAAGAGGAAAATTGGATCATTTATTTGACACTTTGCCTCAACAAGTTGATCCACTGTTCAAAGCTTGGGACAAGCCTCTATATTGATGCTCTGGTTATGGAACTTGTGGTTCTTGAAATAAGTGACTCCTTTCTGTTCCATCATTCAACAAATAAAATATGAGATATGATGAATCAAACATGTTCTAAATTTTGTGATGCGGCTCAAATCTATGGGATTAAAACCAAGATATCATACATAAAACAAGGAGGATGGTCTATCACATAATATTCCAATACTATAAGGATTTCGACAAGATATGAATCATTATCAATACGTCCAAATGAAATGCGGTAAAAAAACAATCGTCCTTTAAAGATTCATTGAAAGAGTCTGAGTTTATAATTTTTTTTGTAGTCTTAAATGTTGAGTTATATATAAGGGAAATTTTTTTTGGAAAGGGACATTTACTTTCCCTTAATGAAGTCATTTCCATCATTTGAATGGAAGTAGGGAGGAGGTGAGCTATGGTTACTAATAACCCCATGAAACTTTAACTTTTAGTGACAAATGCAGCTGACATCAATCACTCTAATTTAAAATTTTCTTCTCTTGGTGCACAAGTAGCCAAATTGATACGAAGTAGATGTAGAAGTTGAAGAAAACCTTGGTTGAATATTCAATTTTAGCAACACAGAAATTGGTAACAAGTAAACGATGAAGAAGAACACTCCAGAATACTTTTTATTGGATTAGAGAGGTAGATTGACTCATCCAAACAACCTAGAAACCTCTAGGAAGCCTTCAAAGAAAAGAACTACAACAAAACACAAAACATAGCAATAGCATACTCTAAGCCCTAGACAATTCCCCCTTAAATAGTTCTAGAACAAAAAATCATAAATAGAACATTCTTAAACATGTAAACATGATTTAGGAAATCTTCCGAAACAATTAAACATGATTTAAGAAACCTTTCATAAATAATTAAACATAATTTAGGAAACTTTCCTAATCAATTAAACATATTTTAGGAAACATCCCTAAATAATATTTCCTCTCTTTTTTAAATTCAAATTGAAAATCTTTCCTTAAATAATTCCCTCCTTATTCCTCCTCCTAAAATAATGAATCGCAACTTTGCTGGGCCCCACAAGGGGGGCTGAATTTTTCATGTTTTCTGCTCTAGGCTCTGCCCAGCTGGATGACTGGTTCGATCCATGCTGAATCGGATAGCTGGACTGGCCACCCCTTCCAATCGCATCACAAATCCAACAAAGTTCGTCAATAAAGATATCCTATTATGCACATATTGCTAAGAAGTTTGTTTATTTAAAGAAAGATGTTGGAAGTTTGATGGCAAACTATAGAGCAAAAACTGGGCAATATAAGAAAGACAAGCAAAAGAATTGAGATATGCATATGTAACACATGAATTAAGTGTCACCAAAGAATATCCTTTGAGTTATAAAAAGAAGAAATATCGAAGTTGAAAATTTTGCTATTTTCACTAGAAAAATCTTATGGGAGTATTTTTTCTCTTGCATTTTTAGGTGTTACCACATCTTCTCATTTTTTTTGAAGTCTTAGAGATGCCTAATTTGAACTCTTTGATTATTGATCTAGGAGTCACAAATCATATGATCTACTCACATAAATTTATTTCATATGCTTCTTGTCCTAACAACAAGAAATTAACTATTGTTTGTGGATCTTTGACGATTGCTATTTTTCAAGGAGACATTCTTATATGCATATCCATCAGTTTTCGAAATGTCATCCACAAACCAATTTATATACAACTTGTTATCTCTTCAAAAGCAAACCAAAAATTCAGAATATAGTGTTTTTTCTAACCCTTTACATTATTTATTTCTGGTAAAGGATATAAGGAGGATGATTTAACTTGCTAAAGAAAGATAAGATCTCCATCATCTTGAGGAATCCAATGATTTAACATGTATCATCATTCTTTGTCAAAAATTTATATCTTATGACAAAAGGATTTGACTTCAACGTCCATATATGGGCCATCCATTCTTTGTTATTCTCAAAATTATATTTCCTTTATTATTTGTAAATATCAAGTTTGAAGAATAGCATTGTGATATTTCTGTGCTAGTATAACACAATTTACTAGTTTTTCAATAAGTGACTCAATAATCGGAAGTCCATTTTCTCCTATTTATAGTGACATCTATGTTATATTGTAAGCTTAACTTCACACATTAAATGCTCCATCACCTTATCTTAGGGTAATTATTAATTTTAAATAATTTTCTTGTGTTTTTAAGGTCTACATCCAAAACTTCTAGCTTTTATTGTTTAATCATGCATTTTGTTGTCATGCCTCACCAAGAATCACCCTAAAACTTAAGTAAAGAAAGTCTTTCTTTCTTTTAAACAAAAAAAAATTATATCTATTATATAGAAACTCCATTTTCAAAAGAAGTTCTTTTCATTTTTTAAAAATGTGGTCACACTTCTAAGTGCACACAATATTGTGAAATCAAATATAACTACTTGGGTCATGTTTAATCTTATATTTTGCACCCTTCATGAATCCTCTTGTAACCCGTCCTTTATGTACCTATACCATCATTGAAAACTCCAATAATTTTTGTATTCTCTTCAAGTTTACTTAGTAGATTCATTCATTGGCTACTAAATTATTATGCCAAACTTTATCTAAACCAAATTAGGAGCATAGACATAGTGCCATTAATGGTGCCATCATAGATAGTTAATTTAATAGTAATTACTCAAGCACTAAGCCTATCACCTAAGTAAATTAATCCTTAGTTTTGTATACACTACTATCCCTAATTTATTTTTATTATTAATCCTACCAACTTATCAATGTATATTCTTGTTTAATGCCTTTCTTATTTTTCTCCTTCCATTTTGTTTGCTACAAAGATATGATATTTATTCTTCTAATATTTGCATTCACCAATACTCTACCTTTCCTCATTTAAAAATCTAATTTTAGTTTAAACTCAGTCAACTTTTGCCTACTTTGCATTGCAATTGAGATATGGTGATCATTTGAAGGTGTATTTTTAGCCTATTCTTTTCTAATTCTCACCACTATATATTTGATTTGTGGCATTTTACTTGCCATGACTTCAGATTCAACCTTTTTGTTCATCTCTCGACATATTTTTATTAGGCTGTGATGCATGAGACTCAAGACAATTCCATGAAGTTAGTAAATTTTGAATTATAATTTTCCTATTAGACTTTGCACAGATTTTATCGATGGGTGTCATCATATTAGTCTAATATCAACCCTCACCCTTTCTCATCTTGCATTGGGACTGGTTGTAGAAATTTTATCCATAAGTTTAGCTTTATACTTCTCACATTTTTTAATTACAATGTTAACTTTATTGAATGTTGATGCAGGCATTGGAGGATATCCCATCTAACGCCCAGCGATTTAGGAAGATACACCGCAACTCATGGGCTTCCAACTTGGAGCTATACCCATTGGTTTGTTAATTCCCCTTTTGCTTGATTTAATGTTTGCCATTATCATTGGAGGTAAATTGGTTTTATGAAATTAGTCTAATCTCAACCAGAAATAATGTTTCTATAACTTGCAAATTTTTTTCGTCCATATTAGCTGCCATTAGTTGAATGAACTGAGTTGGGATTGCACAAAGAAGATATTAAATAGTGTAGACCACAGATTTATTAATTTTCCTCAGCTCAAGGCTACTGTAGGCTTGTGCTCAAGGTGCTCCATAATAATTTCTTCCATTTGTTCACTTGTGCTCGGTAACTTAGGAGGGGGATCAAAAGCAATGCATAAAGCTTTTCTTGTACTATTTTTTGGGAATAACAATTCTCAATATGATAAAAGCATTAAGTGATCGCATAATCTAGTCAATCTGTTTGAACTTCTGAAAGACATTTTAAGCAGTCAACCGTACAAATATCTATCATAAATCATGCAAAACATTTATTAATGTGTCTCTCCCTAGTTTAAATTATACATTTGAGTTATGTTATTAGTTGTTAGTTGTTACTAGAGGCTTTTTAAACATATTATGTATTGTAGGAGAAATTTCCCATATAACTCCCAAAATTTGGCTATTTTCAAAACCAACATCCAACTACCTCCATATCTATTTGAATTATGATCATCCGAATCTCGAAAAGTGTAACAAAACTACATATCGCATTTTTTATTTTCATTAAATTCTGAATGAGTTGGTCTTGGAATGTGTAAATGGATGAATTCAGTGGTTCAATTTTAGGATTGGATGTTAGTTTCATAAGTAGTGATGATTTGAGTGGCATGGTTGTAATTTTTCCCTTTTTTTGTAGGGATAGTTCCAATGAGTTATTTTGTATTGCTTTCAATTCTAGATGTTAGTTGATTGTGAACATGAATTAAAAGAAGTAATTTTTCTAGTGAGGGTTGGCTATAGTTTAGTAGGTTTAATCTGACTCGTCTACTACAGCATTCAAACAGAGTGCACGCATGATGTCATTTATGTTTCTAAAGTGCATATTAGTTCTCGTGTTATTGAAAACTGCATTTTCTCTGTTGTCTCTTTTGACATGCTGAGCTCTTCATTGTATTAGCTTTTTCCAGATTCTCGGGTGTGAATGTGCTATAAATTAAAATTACCACTAAAATTGTAGTGGCCAGACTCATGTCTTTCATCTTATTCTATTTACCATCCTTTTCCAGCTTGATGAGAGTTTGGAACAGTGGCCACATTTAAACGAATTGGTTCAATGCTATAAGGCTGATTGGATAAAAGATGAAAGCAAGTATGGACACTATGACAGCAGCGCATCCTTTTCATTTCAAAATCAGATATATGAAGGCATTGACACAGACATAGAGACAGGTGGTTGCATAATTTTGAACTCAATTTTTTTTATATTGTTATATTTTGAAATGAGAATATGTGATGAGGTTTTATTCATTTTCCTTTTCTTAGAAATGCGACTTGCTTGTGCAAGAGATTCCAAGGTTGATGATGTTACTGATGATGATGTCCCTAGCACCTCAGGAAGACCAATTTCAGAATCTGGTTCTTACTCATCTCGGTTGAAAGCTGCAAGTGTGGTACTTAATGAAGTTTTTTGTTGCGCACATGGACATTTCATTTAAAAAACAAAAGCATCAATTTCTCATGGCAAACTTTTTTTTTGCTTGATATTATTTAAACGAAATGAGCATATACTTGAAAAGGTTGGAGTAGCTCCAGTGGAAGATAAGATTAGAGAGAGTCGCCTTAGATGGTTTGGTCACATTAAATGGAGGCCTTCCTGACCCAATTAGGAAAGTTGAGGTATTAGATTTGACTTATGTTAAGAAAGGTAGAGGTAGACCTAAAAAGGCTTGGTTAGAAAATATTAGAAATGATATTTCTTTATTAGATTTAAATGAAAATTTGACTTTTAACAAGGCACAATGGAGAAAAAGGATTTATATAGCCGACCCCAGTCACCCCACATAGTGGGACAAAGGCTTGATGTTTTTGTTGTTGTTGCTGCTATTATTTATTGATTAAGGGTTGCATTAACAGTTGACTTTTTGGCTTGTGTGATTGCTACTTTTGTGTACTTGCTATTATTTATTGTTAAGGGTCGGAGTGACTTTTTTGGCTTGTGTTATTGTTTATTGGTCTTTGGAATGAATACATTGAAGCTATCTTCCTTCTGAGCGTTGCATGCTAAATTTTATATAATTTCTTGCCATTAGTTAGCTTGAAAACACTGCTTCCTTGTTGAGATTTGTTTAGTAATCCGTACTTCAGAATTTTCTACTGTTGTAGCATACCATGGGTAACTGCAGTACCTTGGGTGTTTACGTTTGGATTTTTATTTTTTGGTTTACATTGTTAAAATTCATAATAATCCATGCAGTCTTCTAAGTCAAATTTGACGCTCAAATGAGGCTTGAATATTTTTTTGGTTTAATCATTTTCTTACTTATTGATCTGAGTCTGTGGGCTCCGAAAAATTCCATTTTGTGTGATCCCGGCCTCTCTACGTCATCTGTTAATTTTCTTTTGAGTGTTTGTGTAACGACGACGATAGAGAGTTTTAACGAGATTAGGTTCCGAAGGAATTTTCAGAAGGCAGATTGAGTTTTAGATAAGGCACTACCCAGAGATTTCGCCCACATTTTTGTGAGGACTTTTTGATCTGAGTTCTGGTTTCCTATAGGCGCAAGCCCCTATAGTTAATTACCCCTCCCGATAATAGGAGAGAACTTTCGATTAAGGCTAGTTATTAAAAAAAGTTATATAAGTTATGAACCTACTATATAATAGCAATAGTTTTAGGGTTTAAATTTTAGATTTGGATTTTTATGATTTAGATTTTATCATCACAAACTTAAAACTGGTGGTGGGGGGAATGAATACGAGCCCGATCAAGATCCCATGGTTCTGTCGTCCCGAGCTGTCATAATCCCTAGTCTACTTAGTCAGAGGAGGTAGTCGACCCAACCTTACAGAAGGCACCTTGTCGGCAGCCATGGGTTGCTTCGTCCAAGAATACCTTGTAGACCTGGGTTGATGTTTGTCTAAGGGGATATATCTGAATCCACCTTAGCTTACAGAGGGCTTTATGCCTATCGAATATACCCTATGATTCATCGCTCAAGGCTTTGACGCCTTTAGGGAACATACGGGCTTTGGCCGTGATCGTAATATAATGGTGCCATTTTGCGGCAAAACCACCCGATCAGAGGGCACGTGCCACGTCCCTGTTGGCAAGAGACTATTTGAGGATGAATCAAAGTGATACACCCGACACACATTCGCTCTTTGTGAGCTGAGGTTAATTTTAATTTTATCACCCCCGACAAACGGTTGCGGGAGGTGGATGATTTTTAATTTTAATTTTAAAGTGATATATTTCATTTTAAGAATTTAAATTATTGTTTGATTTGAGATTTGACTCCTCCGGTTGAGATTTTCGATCAACACGGCCATCATCGGGGTGGCGATTAAAGTCACATGTATTTTTATACGATTTTGGGAGGTATTTTATACTTCAAGTCATGTCGACTCCAGTCCTTTTGAGGAGGAGGATGAAACTTGAATATTAGACCCGCGCATCATTCTCAAATCATGGAATTTGGGACTTAGATGTGACGATTGGAGCACATACGGGTTGTAGTATTTGACCATGCGCAGCATTCTCGACGATTTGAGTTTGTAACTTTAATAGTTCTGTCGGAGCACATGCAGGATGTATTTAATTCAATGGATCATATTTAATATATAGGAGGCATTTTAAAATATTTAAACATGATCCATTGCGCAAGTGATTTTACTTAGAAAATAGCCCAGGAACTTCATTTAAGGGCCTACGACGCCTTCTGTCCGCTTGTACACATGTTGCGGATCCGGTGGCGTGAACAAGAGTGAGATTACTTAGATATAATTAGTCAAATCACTAAGTAATCTAATCAGCTCAATTCACTATTTTATTTATCTCATATACTGACCTAATCCCTTTTATAATTCCAAGGCCAACATCATTAATAATTTAAGATCAACAAATTGACATTCCCTTTTAGTTGATCATTTATTTATATAATCTAGAATCCTCTCTCTCAATAGAGTTGCCATGCTTTAGGCATTTCTCAATAACATTAGAGAACCATTAAATGACATAATTTTCGTATCGCTCCTAAGCTGGGATATAAGTAGATTGTAAAATCTCACTCATAATATAAAAATTTTACAATTCAACAATACACAAATCATTGTGCAAGGCTTGGTTTATTCAAAGATCATCGTATTTTGAATTGCTTTTGTATATTGATTTCAAATCCACTTTAAACTTGTAGAATTAGTTTCCAATTTATAGTTATATATATTATTTTATAAAATAAAATGGGGGTCTAATCTTGTTTAAAATTTGGTCAAAATCTTTTGTTCAATCAAGCCCAAGTTCATTTAATTTTAAGTCCCTTGCTTTTACAGAAAATTTCGACAGCCTCCCGGCGTCCTCTCCCCGTTGCCGGGAGGTAATGAGTGGCTCGACTCGACCGGATCAAATCAACGGCGAGGAGATTAGGTCTTCAGAAGCTTTGATGATCACTGATTTTAGTTCGAAAGTTTGCCGATGCTTAGATGGAGATCGTAGTTGATTGCCAATTGAGATGATTGCTTGTTGTCGACTGATTATATCAATTGATTAAATAAAAGTTTAATTGAAATTAAATTTTAATTTAATAATTGATTAATTAATTAATTCCAAATTAATGCACATTCCTACAATTTTTTAAAATTTGGCTAAGTCCCAAAATTTTAAGGAAATTTCGGCAGCCTCCCGGCGTCCCCTCCCCGATGCCTGGAGTTAAGGGAGTGCTCGACTCGGCCGGAGCGAATCAACGGCGAGGAGATTTGGGAGAGCGAATCGATCCCATAAAAGAGTCTTCAAGTCTTCAAATATGCACGACCTGTTAATTTAAACAACTTAATTTAATTTTTTAAAAAATATTTTTAGTCCCCTCGAAAATCCGGCAGCCTTCCGGCGTCCCCTCCCCGATGCCGGGAGGTAAGAGAATGGCTCGACTCGAGAGGGCGTGGAAGAAGTCGTGGTTGGAGTCGGTCGGCGATGAAGACGGCTGGAGGTTGGAGGTCGACTTCGAAAACCAGAGCGGCGGATCGAGTTCGGTCGGAGGTTGCGTGCGGTTTCGACGTCAGAGGTATGTATTGAATCCCTTTCTCTTCCGTTGCTCTTTCCCTTTGTCTTCCTGTATTTCTGAGAGCGTTTCTGTGTGCGTGAGAGAGTACCGAATGAGAGGAGTCATATTGTGTCATGAGGAGCGGTTTCTGCCGAGAGGAGTGCGATCGTGGGAACGACGTGGGTGGTTGTGTCCGATCATGGGCAATTGTGGGATCGATCGTTGCTGAGGTGGACTTGGTCGGGTTTGTTGATTGGGTCCGGTTCTGTTTGCAGGTCAACAGAGTCATGGCACCCTCACCTTGTTCTTTTCATTCTCTTTTTGGGTCAGATTGCTGAATTTCTTTATGCTAATTTTCTTTTTCTTGATAAACATTTCTGTTTCAGCATTTTGGTGATTCTCCATTGCCAGCATATGAACCCACATTTGACTGGGAAAATGAAAGATTATTGATTTTCGGGCAAAGAACTCCTGAACCATTTCCAACTCAATGTGACAGGTCAACCAACTGGTGTTTTAAATTTCTAGATAATTCAGTTCCAGAGTTTCTTGTTCGATATGATAAATCTGTTATTGCCTCTTTGTTAGTCTTCGTTTCATTTTTTTTAATCCACTTCTTGATAATTATATATTCCTGTTCATTGATTGCAGTGGATTAAAGATCTCAGTGAAAGTATTATCACTATCATTCCAAGCAGGACTAACTGGTACATGTTCACCCTTTTAGTATAGACCAATTTTTTAGTTCTTCATTGTTGAAGTGCTTGCATAATTAAATTGTTGGCCGTGTATCTTTTAGAGCCTTTCTATGGTACCATATGCTTATACAACAAAGAGAGAAGAGAGAAATTGTCAGAGGACTTCTATTTTGATGTTATTCCAACAGAAATGCAGGAGGTAAGAAGTGATTATGAATGCATCTTAATATTTTTTCATTATTCCCTTTTATTCTCTTGGCTTGTTTGGTTGGTGGAAATTGAGGAAAACTAGTGGGGATGGATTTTCCTGGTCATTTTTTCCACAGAAAAATAGGCAGAAAGAAACTTGCAAAGAAATTTACATGATGGTAGCATTTTATCAATATTTCCCTTGTATTAGCTGTGAATTTGAAGATGGAAATCTACCCGGCAAGAGATCCTCACCTGCTTAATCACAAATCAATTTGTTCTGTTTATTCTCGACATTTTTGTGAGAGTAATATCCCACTTATTTCCCTCAGCACCCATGCTTCATTAATTTAATCTCTTCTATAAACTTAGTTTATTGATGCGACTCTACGGTCAAGGCTAATGACTAGCGAGGGAAGATATGTTTTTCTATGAAGCAAAACACCTTTGGAGAGGTTCGCAACATTATTTGTTTCTGAAACTCAAACACTATTAATTATAGGACGTCAGGCCTGCCATTCAGCACTTCTGGGGCGCCTGTTGGCACATGATGTATGTGTTGTGCTTATATTATAGCTATCATATCATTCCAATTATAGGGATTTTAATTTAACATATTTCATATCAAAGTCTTATGGCACAATGATGGATAAGATGTAAAGGTCTATTTGGATTATAAAGGAGGTGGCTTTTTATTTTTAATATTAGTGAACTATATGTATTTTAAATGTCATGCTCAACCCATCTCTGTGCCCATGAACCACAATTATTTTCCATTTTTTGCTATTTTTCTCCCTATTTCCGTTTACCATATTTCTCTTAATATTCCTTATAACTAATATCAATATTAAGGATAAAATCAGGGCCACTGCTTCTATGTTGATTTGGTCTGTCTTACTAGCTTTATGAATCTTATGCCATTTTCCTATCGTAATATTAAGCTTGAATTTGTATGGCATTTCAAATTCCTGTCAGGTATAGCGGTGATTTCTTCATTTTTCTTTTTTAGGCAACCATTTCTTCAGATCGGAGAGGTTTTTTTTCTTTAGACGCTCCGTCAGCCTCAGTTTGCCTGCTGATTCAGCTTGAAAAACCTGCTACAGAAGAAGGTGGTGTTACTTCATCTGTTTATTCTCGCAAAGAACCTGTAAGTAATGATGCATTTTCCTTCAAATTGCCAGAGATGGCATTGGGATACTTATTTGATAACTTTTTGTATTTTTTATGATTATCTTTTAAATGTAAAGAGATTGAGGGCATGGCTTGAAATATGATTTTGCTGAATCATTAATGCGATACTAATCTTGAATCCATTGTGATGTCAGCATTTTCACACTCATTACTGAAGGTCTCTTACATTCTAGTGTCTGATTCATATATTTAGGTTTGCATGGATGGGCAGTGGCATCTCACGTTTTCTTATTATGGCATGATAGATAAACTTGACTGAAAAAGAAAAGCAGAAGCTGCAAGTTTGGTCTCGGATTATGCCCTACAGGGAGTGTTTTGCTTGGGCTGTTGTTCCACTGTTTGAGAACCATAACACTGTGTCTGGGGGTGGTGCTGCTTCTCCTGGCAGTCCCCTTGCTCCCAGTATTTCAGGCTCAAGCTTCCAAGATGGTGTTGGCGAACCTGTTGCAAAAACACCTTATGATGGGAAGCTTACCCAGGGCCCCACTGGGAGCTCAGTTATTGTGGAGATATCAAATTTAAATAAGGTCAAAGAGAGCTATACTGAGGACACACTTCAGGTAACATTTTTAACTCATCTTCTGATTTGCTGCTTATGTTTCTAATTGTTTTTTTTTTTCAATCAGTTCCTTTTATATAATTGAACTTTTTGAGTTTACTTGATCCATACTTGAAAATCAATCTTTCCTGATACCTTTTCGGTTTTATACCAGTTGTTTTCAAAGGTTGAAAGGGAAAAAAGGAGCAACTTAAAATGGAATTACTCATATATAAAGCCCTACATAGTTTATGCCTTCTGATTTTTTCCGTTCTGATCTAATATGTTCCAAGTTTTGCTGGTCCCAACTTGAAGTGACCAAATGTTTATGCTATTTTCTACTGCTAAATGATAATATTGTTTACTGTTTATAATCCTTGTAATATTGCAGTGATAAAAAGGCATAAAAAACTTATTGCTTTCTGTGAAGATAATCTCAACAAGAATGAAGTGTAACCGTATCAGGGTATACATATGTAGTTCTTTGAATGTATATAAGAACACTTATAATTTCTGACATGACCTCTTTTTTTTCTACATAATTGTTTCTTAACAGGTCACTTTTCAATTGACTCCAAACGTTTACTTATGAATTAATCATAAATTTATTTCTATGAATCATTGAACTAGCATTATAACTGCATTAAGCAAGAAAAGGTTGGCGAAAACATTGTTGTAACCTTCATGATTGTTTCGTATTTGAACAGTATGATACATGTGATGCAACCAAAAGTTCCCCAAACAAGTAGGAAACCCTTGGTCACAAAAAGAAACAAAGAAAAGACTAAACTAAGTCTCCACGACAAATTGGAGACCACAACATAACTTTTGTAAAACAAAACATTACTTTGATAATTTGAAATGACATTACAATGACAAATACAAACTTATAACATAAAAGACATACAACTTTATAAAAATAAAAACACCTAAAGTTGCTGCATTCCTTAAGAAGAAAGATAAGTGGCGTCGAACTTGCGGAGAGATGAAAGAGGGAAGAAGCCGAGACAAAAGAGAGGACAAGCTTGCAAGCTTTCCTAGGAGAAGAGAGGAATGGAACAAGCTCGCAAGCTTTTCCAAGAAAAACCCTTAGGTTTTTAGATCCAAAAATACCATTATGACACTCTTTTTTTATTACATAACATCACATATATATAGGATAAAAGGGAAGCCAAACAACCACCATAAACACTAATTAACCCATTAAATTTTGGGAACTAGAAGGCCAAAAAGTTCAGTCCAGAAACATCACCCAAACAGCCATAAAGGAGGGTCTGCATTCATTCCAAAATAGCTCCCAAAAAGGCCACACAGAAACCAGGAAAAAATAGCCATGGGACAGCCAGTCAGGGGAGGAATCGAAGGGGCAGCATAGGGAACCGGGACAGCAGCCAGGGGAGAAACCGAAGGGGCACAAAGGGGACCGGAACTAGCAACCAGGGAATCAGAACCAGCAGCCCAGGGATCGAAACCAGTAGCCTAGGAAATGGGGCAGTAGCTAAGGAACCGGAACATGCAATTAAAGGGGGAGGAATCAGCCATGGGAAGGAGAGCTAGGTGGGGGAACCAAAGGGACAACAAATGGTTGAAATGAACCTCAATTTATGAGCTGAAAAGGTTCTCTACTAGACATTAATGAGCTGATTCTAATAGAGGACTTAGAGCTCTCTAAAATTATAATTCAAAATGTTTTGACCCCCCTTTGCCTACATCAACATGCAATTCTAAATTGTGGCCCTGATGCTAGACTTTGTTTAGGTCCTGTTGAGCTTGAATCAGGATGTTGAACCCACAACCTGATGATCAGATGAGCCTATTATGTAAATTCAATTTTGGTGATTACAAATGTGGTATGAAATGTGGTCTAATGGCTATTTGATATTTTTCCAAATATATAGGAAAAGTCACGAGTGCTAATTTTTACGCATATAACAATCATTTTGAGAATAAGAATATTCTTTTGTTTTTCATATGTAAGAGAAAAATGAAAAAGAAATCAAATCGAGTAGGCATCTAAAGAAATCAACATTGCAAAATAAATATTTTCCTATGTGCATTAAAGTGTATTTATCTTTATATTTTTTTAAGTAATTAAAAGATATTTCAAAGTTATTATATATATAGCCCCAAACTCCTTTTGAAAATGTTAAATGCATTTAATTTGCAAAGACGCTAGAAAGAAAAACAAATAAAAAAATATAATTATTTCATCTTCGGGGTTTATGGGTCTCCTCAAACCTTAACTTTACTCTATAAATTGACAATATTTTTTTTTATTGATTTTGATTTATTAATGCCGCCTCCCCCCCCCAAAACGGTTTATGGGCCTCATTTAACCCTTAATGAGCCTTAGTTAAGTTTTGCATGTATCCATTAACCTGATTTGTCAATAATTAGCTAATTCAGCCTAGCTGTTGGAGGATTAGTTGGATTCCCGTCAGGCTCTTTGTTAGTTGTTGTTGGTAGTGCCTAAAGCTCTGTTTTAGAGATTACATTTCATTACCCTATTTAAGATCAGAATTTTCAAATCTAATAAAAAATCAATAAAGATTTTCTTGTAAAATCAAGTTCTTTGAAGGAAATTACTATGATTAGATTGCTTGCTCAACCAAGATTGCTTTGACTTTTGATTTCAACCTTTTTGTTTCTTCATGCACTTTAATCAACTTGTAAGTTTGTTCAGTTATGCTTTTAGATTTCAAATTTTTGTAATTGCAATCTTGCTTTAGAGAAGATTTAAAGTTGGTGTCGTAGGTCAGGGCACCTTTCTTCTTAATGAAATGTTTTAAGGGTTTCACCACCCACACCAAGCGAAGGATAGTTGCTCAAATAGAGGAACTGTGGGCTTTGAGATGCATTGAGGTGTGTGAATGTAGGGTTTGTTGACTTGAACCGCTTAAAAATCGATTCTCTTGATTTTCTACATTTATATTTCCTTCTTATGGTACTTTTTTTGGGGAATTTCTTATGGTACTTGTATGATAATGTGGTTCTTGATAGGGTGTAAATGAGCCAAGCTAGATCATGAGCCGGCTCAAACTTGAATCGCTAATGAGCTCGCGAGTTGAGCTTATCGAGCCAAGAGCTCCAACTCAAATTTGAGCTCGACTTTGAGTTTGATTAAACTCAGCTTGTCGACTCACAAGCCAGTTTAAATAGATTAAATATTATTTTTTTTCAGGTGCAGTAAAATTAAAAAATATTTTTTAAAATATTAAATATTAGTTGTCAATTAAAAGAGAAGCATAATATTAAGTTAAGTGTTGCAGAGATGAGGATGCTTGGGTGGATGAGTGGCTTGACCCTAGAGATAGAATACAAAATGAGCATATACGTGAAAAGGTTGGAGTAGCTCCAGTGGAGGATAAGATTAGAGAGAGTCGCCTTAGATGGTTTGGTCACATTAAACGGAGGCTTTCTGATAACCCGGTTAGGAAAGTTGAGGTATTAGATTTGACTTATTTTAAGAAAGGTAGAGATAGACCTAAAAAGACTTGGGTAGAAAATATTAGAAATGATCTTTCTTTGTTAGATTTAAATGAGACTTTGACTTTTAACCGGGCACAATGGCGAAAAAAGGATTCATGTAGCCGACCCCACATAGTGGGACAAAAGCTTGATGTTGTTATTGTTGTATATATTTAATAATAACTTTTAAAGTTCAGTAGAACATAACAGTTTTTTTTTTTTAAAAGCTCTATCAAATTAATTATGCTGTACTTTGTCAGCTTTTACAAGAAAAAAAAAGCTGTACACAAGTTCCTAAGTTCCTTCTCCTTGAAGCACGCTCCACTTGTGATCTCCACAACTCCATTGCGGTCCATGAGTTCATTCGACGAAGCAAAAATCTGGCCAACTGTATATCGAGTCGAGCTCTCGAGCTTGAGTAGGAATGCTCGAGCCAAGTTCGAGCTTGCCTTGACTTAAGCTCGACTCGAGTCGTCTACACCCCTAGTTCTTGATCTTAATTTATTATTTTTAATCCAATGATATTTTCCTTCAGATCTATTATTTTGTGGAATAAAGTTTATTGATTTAATTTTTGAAATATTCAATCCATCCTTGCTTGGCATGTGTTAATTATCACTTTGTATCAATGATATTATCATATAGATCATCCTTTACCATATAACTTGGGGATTTTATTTGCATCTGTCCTCTCAATCCATTTTTGAATCTAATTTTCATGTACTTGATAAATATTATACGGCATCTTAATAGATGCTTATTTGGCTTAATTCATTTGATATTTGGGTTCCTATTATAGTTCTTACTCATTTTTTTGCGTTAGCACTTTGTTGTCTTTGTTGTTGATCATTCTCAGATCACATGGGTGTATTTGCAAAAATAGCTATGAAGTCTTGTTTGTTTTTCCTACTTTTTGCCAACAAATAAAATTTTAATTTTCTATTATGATTAAAATTCTCCAAACTGATAATGTTCTTGAATATATGTAGTCTCAATTCGCTCATTTTATGCTCACAGTGAAAGTATCCATCAAACCTCTTTTATATATAGAATGGGGTTGTTGAACATAAACATCATGTTCTTTTTGATATAATTTTGTATCTTGATGTTTCATATGAATGTTGCTCGTTAATTTTAATGTGAATCTACTTTGATTGCATGTTGTAATATTAATCATATTTTGTCCATTACTCTTGTTGAATTCAAGTTGGATGGTTGAAGTGGAGGAATCCATCGGGCTTGTTGTGTGATAGAAAAGCATCCCCCAAACTTAAGGGAAAATTCTATAAGATGTTGGTGAGACTGCAATGTTTTATTGCGCAGAATACTGGCCATTAAAAGAGAAGCACAAAATTATGTTAAGTATTGCAGAGATGAGGATGCTTAGGTGGATGAGTGGCTTTACTCTTAGAGATAACATATGAAACAAGCATATACATGAAAGGTTGGAGTTGCTCGGTGGTAGATAATATTAGAGAGAGTCTCCTTAGATGCTTCACATAAATGTCGGCCTTTCGATGACTCGGTTATGAGAGTAGATGTATTAGATTTGGCTTATGTCAAGAAAGGTAGAGGTAGACCTAAAAAGACTTGGTTAAAAAATATTAGAAATGATATTTCTTTATTAGTTTTAAATGAGAATTTGACTCTTAACAGGACACAACGGAGAAAAATGATTCATGTAGCTGGCCCCATGTAGTGGGTAAAGGCTTGATGTTGTTTTTTGTTGTACTCTTGTTGATGTCACCCTGCTTTACTCTTTATCTTGGGTAGCCTCCTTTTCTCTCCAACTTAGGGTTTTTGGTTATGTTTATATTGACAATGGTGATAAACCCTATCTTGAGGCAATTTGATGTTTCTTTTTTGGGATACTTTCATTTTTAGAAAGGCTATCATTGATTTGAATCAACCATGGTTTAAAATTGCGGAATATGAGGCTCTCCTTGAGGCCCGCCTTTACGCAATTCCAGTAAAAAACGCCTCGATGCTTACGCCTCAAATTTTTTTATGAGGCTTACGCCTCAACTTGGTTGAGGCCCGCCTCGCCTCACTGGCATGAGGCTTACGCCTCACGCTATATATATTAAAACTTACATAAATATTGAAGTAAATGCCCGACATTGAACTCTATAGGAGAGGAGGAAGAGGAGAGAGCAGTTCATCATAATGATGATTCAAATGAAGAACCCCTTATTGATGACAGTGCTGATGACTTATGAGTTCTTATGTGATATGTCATTGCTATTTATTTTTTAAAATTTGAATTATATGTTAATGAAAAGAATACTGGGATTTGGAAAAGATAGAATTTTTAGTTGAACTATATTTCATGTTGTCTTATTATTGGGATATTTTGATTTCACTTCATATCTTATGTTTTTTTATGTTTTATATTATTCACTTATTAATATATAAAAAATTTATCATTTTATGTTTACGCAATCTTTTGATTTTGAGGCTTACGCCTCGCCTAACGAATGAAAAACGTCTCAATACCCGAATACGCAATTTTAAACATTGGAATCAACTACTAGACACACATTTATATTAAAAAATGTTATGAGTCCTCCTCACCCTATTATTCTTCATTACCTTTCTCTAAACTATTATCTCTTCTTATTCCTCTTCTTCAGAAGAATCTATACCTATTAGGGGTTAGTTGTTTTGGTTTGCTTGGTTCATATAGATTAGCAAAACCAGTTGGTTCCAGTTTAAAATTTAGAAAATCAATTCGATCAAACAATTTTCTAAATGAATTGAATTTAGATCAATTCAATGCGGTTTTGTATGAATCAAAATTAAATTAATCTGATCCCTATTAACCTAAAATAGGTTGTATTAAGAAGAATACCAAGTAATCTTTGCTGAAGTTTATTGTTTTGTGATGTGGAATTAATAATATTCACATTCATCTTTATGTTACTTGTTTATTGTTAATTATTTATTTATAATTCATGAGCTTTTTTTTATTTATATTAGAATAAATAAATATAATTTGATTTTTGATTTGATCAGTTTTTATAAAATAAAAATCAAACAAAAATCAGTAAGCAAAGAAAATCAAAATTGCAACTAATAACTAAACAAATGTTTGAGCAACCGAACTGAATCAACCAAATTAGATTTGCTTGTTTAATTTTTGGTTTTAACCAAATAATGCACATCCCTAATACTTGTACCCTCAACTTTAAAGGTACCTCCAAAATAACACTTTCATCCACATTGTATCACCTGGTTGAACATCCGCCTTTTTCGTTTTCCTATTGCTATTCAAAAAAGCAAATAATAGTGTTCTGATCATTTTATTCAGTCTTATATGTTCTTTGATCATTTTCAACTTGCCATCTACATTTTGCTCTATATTTATCATCAATTTATATTCCTAGGACATACCAGGAGGCATTGTAAGATTTCTAGTGGAAATAAGCTGTGAATATTGAAATAGCCGATTTACTAAATCAAAATACATGGGTTATGGTTCCCCTTTCTCACATTAAACTAGTTTACTATGGATGTATTTATGCATTTAATTTCACCCTGATGACTTTATTGACAAATATAAAGCACGGTAGATCACCAAGAGGTTTGACTCAAGTTTGTGGGATCGACTAATTTAACTCATTCTATCCAGTTGTTAGGTTCAACTCAGTCTTGTTTTTTTTCTTGTCACTATCAATAAAGATTGGCCATGTCTGCAAATCGATACGAGTAATGCATTCTGATACGCCTTAGGTTTCACAAATTAGGGTTTGCCCTAATTTTCCTTCAAGATGAAATTTCTCCTCCAAATCCAAGAAAAAAACAACACAAGAGGGATGAGAGGAAGAACAAGAACATTTGCATTCAAAATCCAAGAGAAACAAGATACAATTTGTCCACTTCGAGAAGGACAAGGTCTCCCACTACAAACCCTAGAAAAACAAGAGAAAGAAACTAAGAGGCTAAGTCCTCCACCAGTAGGGAATGTTGCTCAGGGGTCTACTAAAGTTTATAAGCTCAGCAAGGACATCTATAGGCTTAAGCAAAGGCCTCGGGCTTGGTTAAATGTGCTCTGCGAAGTTCTTGTTGAGGTTGACCTATATAGTAGCACAAAGGATCACTGTACTTTTGTTTGACACACTTCATCCGGCTATGCCATCTTGGCAATTCATGCTATTGATATTCGACTTATATGTAGTTATCAAAAAGTGATTAGTGAATAAAATCCTATTTGCAATTGTGCTATCTGGGTCATCCCAAATTCTTGTGTAGTTGGATTTTCTTAGAGTTTTTGTGTTTATTTCCTTATTATAAATATAATCAGGTTCCTCTGCAAAATAATTCTTAGAAATCCGATTTTCTTTCATCAGCTCTAAATTTTCTTTCTCATTGGTAAGTTATAAGGTTCTATTGTGCAGCTTTTTCTTGGTCTGAGGTAAAACATCCGCTTCAATCCCTTGCTTCAGCTACTGTTTTATTTATATATATATATAATCTCTTTCAGGACCCAAAAAGAAAGCTGCACAAGCCTGTCAAGGGTGCATTGAGGTTGGAGGTTGGAAGGTTTCGTGCAGACCATATTGATTTGGACAATCTTTCTGAAGATGGAAGTTCCACCAACGATTTAAATGATGTTGGTGAAAGTGTCGGACCAAGCGGAAAACACCCCAATGATGGTTCTGATGGTCATCGAAATGGGAGTCTAAAGCTTAATGGTGTTGATAGGAGAAAACAGCACAGGTCTGCTCTGCAAATGACCAGAGGATGTGGCCTTCATAACTGTAATGATGAAGTGGTAGGTGTTGGATTTATTTTATTAATGACATCACCTTTTTAAATCTGGTTTCATTTATATTTTTTTGGTCAGTTACACAAATGATGCTGATCCCAGAAGATTTGTTGGGATTCTGTTCTTAGTTGCTGCTGTGAGGCTATTGTTGATGATAAATAAAACGAGTCACAAGTGATTCTACATAACTTAATTGAAAATTAAAATTTCTTATTAAAAGCTAATTCAGACAAGAAGCTTAAATACAGGATGTTTTACTGATATCCCATTAATGGTTGGCTAGGTTGCTCTCCATTCATTCTTAAGCTTTTATTCATGGTTAACATAGATGCTGGAAGCTTAATAATGCTTCCATTTTATGTTCAAAAGATTAATTCAACTCACATACTGAAACTTATTCTGCAATTTGACTTACAGTAGGACCAATTTAAGCTTCTTCTTCAGGTAGCCTCCATCAATGACCTTTATTGTGACAGTAATTGTATATTTTTTGATGCTTTGGCAGTTTGAAGCATTTGATTTCAGGGTGATGTTAAAAAGTGAGCCATTCACACAACTTGTTCATTGTCTCTATCTATATCCATTGACGGTCAGTTTCAGTCGCAAAAGGAACTTGTTCATTAGGGTGGAGATGAAGAAAGATGACGGGGACATTCGCAAACAACCCATTGAGGTCTGTCTTCTGGAATATTGAACCCTTGTGTTTTTGTCCCTGTAGTTTTCATGATGCGTAATTGTGTTCTATTCATATCCTCAGGCAATGTATACAAGGGGTCCTGGTTTGGGACTTCAAAAATGGGCCAATACACAGGTGGCTGTTGGTGCCAGAATGGCATCCTTCCATGATGAGATTAAAATTTGTCTACCTGCTCTTTTGACACCTCAACACCATCTTCTATTCACCTTTTTTCATATTGACCTCCAAACAAAATTAGAAGCTCCTAAACCTGTGGGTATTAAATATACCAGCTAGATTTGCTGTATCAGTATTTATTCAATCTCACATGACATTATCTGATGTTCCGTTTACCTTTTGCAGGTAGTTGTAGGATATGCCGTGCTTCCTTTATCCACTCCAGCTCAGTACGTGCTTATGGATTTGTTAAGTTGATATTAATTGAATCATCCACTGTATTTTATGCATACAGTGGAGTATTTATATCTTTGATGTGATATTGTTCTTCCTTGGTGTATGAGTACATGATTATGTACTGGGGAATTTAAAGTTTCTTTTTACAGGTTGCATATGGACATATCTTTGCCAGTAATGAGGGAGTTGGGTCACAATTATTTGCAAGATGCTGGGAAGGTATAATTATATTTTCACTAGTTTGCATGTGTTCTTGTTCCTTGTTAGGCGTTGAGCTTCATTCAATAGAAAGAAAAAAAGTATACTCAGACTCTTTGGATGATATTGTAGGAGAGATTGGATTATTTGGAAGATGGTAAGAGTATCTTCAAACTTCGTTTAAGGCTTTGCTCTACACTATTTCCAGTCAATGAAAGAATAAGAGATTTTTTCCTTGAGTATGACCGACATATCCTTCGCACAAGTCCTCCTTGGGGTTCAGAACTACTTGAGGTACAAAATGAAGTGCAACATTTTACCGTTGATCCGTGCTGCTGTTGGTTGGGTGCGGTCTAATTATTTTGGTTTTAAAAGTTACTGGCTTCTATCTGTGGTCTATCAACCGCTCATTTATTTGAAAGAATTACAGCAATTTGTTTTCTGTTGCTATCTGTCATAGTTGAGTAGATCTGAATCATACTTTATGATTTTTGTTTTCCATCTAATTATCATATTATGCTGTATGAAGGTGAACCAATATCTTTTTTCCTTGGCGAGCTTCAGCATATTTATTTGAAAGAATTACAGCAATTTGTTTTCTGTTGCTAGCTGTCATAGTTGAGTAGATCTGAATCATACTTTATGATTTTTGTTTTCCATCTAATTATCATATTAGGCAGTATGAAGGTGAACCAATATCTTTTTTCCTTGGCGAGCTTCAGCATATTTGTTTGAAGTTAGTTTTTAATTCAGTTTTATATTTCCTGCTATGCCAGGTCCCCTTTTTCAACACACACACACACACACTCTCTCTCTCTCTCTCTGTTTTTAAAAAAATTATTTTTGTTGCTATCCCTTGATTCTATTGGAAATGTTGCATGTGCAGCATCCTGGATACGTGTATTTCTATTCTTTTTAATCCCGTTATTGGGGAACTAATATGGTTGAATGGAATTTTGCTTTGATCAAGTAAGAAATAGAATCCATCTATGCAGGCTATTAATAGTTTGAAGAATGTGGAATCATCTGCCTTGTTACAGTTTCTCCAACCTATCCTCAATATGCTTTTGAATCTGATTGGTGATGGTGGTGAGACCCTTCAGGTGAAAATGAGTTGCTTATTTTCTTTTAGATTCATCATCAAGTCAATATCATGTGGAATATAATTTTTTTATTTCATTAGCATAAATATTTTTAGAAACTAAATACTCACTCGGAAATTCTTCAATTTACTTTAAATACCGAACATATTTTACTGTTCTTTCGGACTTTTTTTATTTAAGTTTTATCTTCAGTTGATTACTTATGTTTTCGTTGTTCTCCTTCATATTCCTTGTAGGTTGCAGCATTTAGGGCTATGGTTAATATTTTGACCAGGTAAGCTTTTAAGAACTATAGTTTTATTCATCGCAGTGATCATATGACAATTCAAGCTTCGTTTGGGACAACTTTCTTACTGCTTCCTAAAGCAGCTTTTTATTTTCCAAAATTTCTTGAACTATAAATTTTGTACTAGAAAGTTAATTTAGAAAACAATAAGAAATATGTTAAAAAAAAATTCTTATTCTACTAATTGCTACATTACTCTTAAGATGTAGCATTTCACATGTGAAGATGAATGATGTGTATATTTGCCTCTATACATTTATGAAAAAAATTTGAAAATATCTCTATATAGATAGAAAATTAATTTTTTCTACTAATAAAAGGATTTGAACAAAAGAATTTGAATCAAGCGTTATTTCATTATAAATATTCAAATCTAGTAATAAAGCTACTCCGATCCATGTATCGAGAAGTAGATAAAAAGAGAAATTTTCGATGCTCTTTAAAATCAACATGATATCAGAACACAAATTTTGATTACTTGTCTCTCCTATGCCCTAGAAGGCATGAAGGATTAAGCATGGTTTTGAAAATTGGATTGGCCGGTTTGACCGATTCAACGATGAACCGGTCATATGGCCGGTTCGGTCTGTCTTAAAAACTTGTCCAGCATTAAACCGATGTGAATCGGTTTGAATCGCCGGTTCAACTGGCCAACCGTTGATCGGTCTAGGTTTTTAAGAATCAGCCGATTTGATTGATATTCTATTTAAATAATTAAATTAATTAATTAATAGAAAATCTTTAATTAGGACTAATAGGTTTGATCGGTTCAACTGTGAATCGTCATATGGCCGGTTCGGTCTGTCTTAAAAATCGGTCCAACATTAAACCAGCTTGAACCAATTTGAATTGTCGGTTCAACAGACAAAACACTGAATTTGTCCCGGTTTTTAAGAACCGGTCGATTCAATTGATATCCTATTTAAATAATTATTTGTGTTAAGTTCTGCTTAAAATCATCTCTAAACTTTATGTATAAATTGATCGTAACTTTTATTCCAATTTGTCAGAGTTTTGTGCAATTGACGCCTGTTCTGTAAACTATAACAACGGGGAACCAAATTTATTGGTTCATTTTTCTGATATGTATTTTTGACTTTCATTATGTTTTGTCAATTACTTTGTTATTATGTAGGGTACAGCAAGAGTCATCTGATGGGACTGAAAGGAACCGGTTTCTTGTGAATTACGTTGACTACACCTTTGATGACTTTGGTGGCCAACAAGCTTCGGTTTATCCAGGTTTATGTACAGTATGGGGAAGCCTGGCACGCAGTAAGGTTAGATGCAGATTGAACTCATTAACAAGCACCATTTTCCATTGTATTGGTTGCTAGTGGTATTAATACTGCAGTTGATATCCATTACCTTTTCATGGAATTCTCACTTGGTTTCATGTATACTTCAATTAATGAACTCTGCATTATGCATCATTAGTTCAGGATTTTATATTTTAGATTGTTAATATTTGTACCTTTGATCTGTAGAAATATCATTGTATATGCTAGATTCAACATACTAGTTTAGACATTTTTTTATTTTAATTAGAAAAAAAAAACGGAGAGCTACATCATGCTTTGTAAATTTCATCATTGGCGTGTGTTTGGTTTTCCTTTTTCAGGATATTGATATTTTAATTTAATTGGTAATATAATTTTGTGTGCAGGCTAAGGGGTACAGGGTTGGACCAGTTTATGATGATGTTTTGGCGATGGCTTGGTTCTTCCTGGAGCTTATTGTCAAGTCAATGGCATTAGAACAAAACAACATTCATTCAAACAGTCTTCCTCTAGGTATTTTTATTGTGGTTTATTTACCAGTTAATTATCATTCATTGGGTTTGTCTTTATCAGTTTATGATCATAATCTAGAATCCAATTTTCATTTCATGCATGTTTGCTCATATTATTTTTCGTAATGCATGTTTGTTTGTATTCTTTTTTCCATTTGAATGTTCCTAGTCTATATTTGCATCTGCAATATGTTTTTTCTTGACAGAAGGCTGGGGAGACCTCTACACATTTAGAGGAAAAAAAAAAGAAATTGTACTGGAGCATGATTACAGAGAAAAGAAATAAAGAACATCTTGAAAAAATTGAAAGATCAAACTGTAATATAAAAAAAAAATCTGCATCTTATTTAGTGTATTGATATCTCTCTTCTTCTTGATAATGTGAAGAGCCTTCTTCTGTAACTAGTATCCATTCAAAAATAAGTTTGTGATATAATGTCGAGCCAGATGAACTTTTTCCTTTCTATTTTTTTTTTAATTAAAAAAATATCTGTTATTCCTCTCGTTTTAAATATTCCACAAGACTGATAAGAAGAAAATATCTCAAATTTCCCCAGTCATTTTTGACATATATCCTAGGTAAAATATTGGCTTTCCGATGACTTTGTTAAGAGAGTAGATGTATTAGATCTGGTCTATGTTAAGAAAGGTAGATGCAGACCTAAAAAGACTATTAGAAATGATTAAAAATGAACTTTTTTATTAAATTTAAATGATAGTTTGTTTCTTAATTGGACATAATGGAGAAAAATAATTCATATAGCTGGCCCCAACGTAGTGGGATAAAAACTTCTTGTTTTAATATCTCTACAAGAGAAAAATTCATTTCTAAACAAATTACATATTTCTTTAACAACTCATAGATATTGTTATTTCCCTCAAATTATAATGATAGAACTACACCTGAAGAAAGGATGAGAATCATCTTTTGATTGATAATTGCACATCACACAAGTTATAGAATTGCTGAGGCCCATATGATGAACATATATTTTGTTAGGAACCCTGTACATATGAATAATCCAACTGAAAAGCAATTTTTAACGGGCCAAAGTCCTCTCCAAAATCCAGTTGGAAGGAGTATGAATGGCTCCAGGTGCATGGAAAGAGTAGTAAGAGCTAACCAAGTAGTGTCCATTTAGGTTTGACCATCTGTTTAGGTGAATCAATATTTGAATTAAGATTAATCCTATCCAATCATAATAGATGTTAGAAACTTTATTAAAAGATGGTTTGGAATAATGCCTTCAATTGAATTTTTTAACTAATGTTAGAAATTGAGAATGCACCAAGCAAATTGCGATTCCATCCTAATTTGAAGAGATGGTGATATCAAGTTGTTGAAGGCTTATCATGAATCAGTTTGTCCTTTAATAATTTAAGACTTTCACCATTTTGAATGTTCTAAGAAATCTAAAAGAAGAAAGGAGAAGTTTTTCTCACCCCTACAATGAATTGGTACATTTACCCATCCAAAAGTTAAGAGGGGAAGATTGGTCATATACTTATAACTAGCAAAGGAATTGAGACCAATGTGAATCGATTTTCAAATCCATTTAGAGATTAGGGAAATGTTCATGGTTCTATGGTCTTTTTCTTCATCATCGACTTTCCAATAAAACTCCTGATAGGTTGCATCGATATGGATACGGCGACACGGATACGGCACGATACGGATACGGGACACGTCAATTCTTAAAAGTATAGGATACAGATACGGCGTGGATATGACATTATAATATATAAATCATACATAAAAAATAAGAAAGTAATCAAAGCTTAATATTTGAAATGACAAAAAAATTGAATTGGTCTCTGATAGACCATCATTAGACCCAATTCCTATGTCACTAAAACTCATTATCCTACGAAGGATCGACACAAATTAAACCACATGAATTTGAAACATAAAAATTTTTAAGTAAAAGTGTAGATATGTCGCAGATATGCGGGGGTCCAAGGGGGCGCTTCCCCTTGGCGGGGTTCGACCTGAATGATATATAGAGTTGTTTTCAAGCTTTCTCTAGCTTCTCGGTGCCGCTTGGTATCATTCGGTACCCCTCGGTACCGAGCAGTATCGAGCATTGATACTGAGCATGGTACCGAGCATCGCAGAGAGGTACCGAGCGGTACCGGGTTCCGGTACCTTTTTTTTCTTTTTTTTTAATAGGACATGCATGTCCGATACGTGTGTCTGGTCAAATTTAAATAATATTTTAATTGGACACGGCAAAGCCGTATCCGACACATATCCGTGCCATATCGGAGGCGTATCCATATCTGACACGTGTCCGATATAATATGGCTCGTAAATAGGAGTATCCGTGCTACATAGCTCCTGATGATACCTATTTTATTAATAACCCATTTTAGCTTGCAAAGGAAGGAGAAGGGGGATAGACTTCACATATGCAATTTGCTGATACAAATACAAATTGCTTTTTTTTTTTATCCGGATATCTTAACTGAGCTGTTGTGCCTCTCGAATAGCTAGCTTGCCAACTTACTAATGTGCTCACAAGCACTTAGCTTTGTTTGGCATTGATGTCTTCTACTAAGCTATGTTCTATGAAGCGGGGAGGGTTAACAGAGAATGAATATTTCATTCATAATATTTTGAATTTTATCAGTGGCTTTTTTTAGGCTGAATGCTACATATTGTTCATATGTAATTGTAAAAGTCTTTCTGTTTAATTTGTTGAAAATTTCCAGACTACATGTCAAATTTTAAAAAGCAATCTCTTTGTACAAGTGATTTAATTTATCTTCCTGTCAGGAATAAGATATCAAATCTATTTTAAAACTTTTTTAGTGGTTGATAGTTTATAACCAATTTTGATTTTTCTTCTTTGTAAGGTTTGTTAAATGCCTAAAATATTGTAATACTCCATGGTGTATTTGCTTTTCTATTTCATTTATGTAGTAATTCATTACTTTCTGTTTATAATGACCAAATCATTCAAAAACTTCAAATGTTTGATGTGTTCGTTTATAAAAGTATAAAACATTAAGACATCGTTCATGTAAATTATTATATATTTATAGAGAAAATTATCAAAATTGTTGATGAGGACATCGGAGATCAACGGCTACGATTTTTTTTAGTTATTTATTTATATGTTTTTGTACTAGTTTATTTTATATTGTTGTTTTTCCCTTTATACCCTTATGGGTGGTCATGTAGTATGCTTGTACGTTTCACATCAATTGTCCCTTGACTATTTATGAAATTAGTCCCGGGGACTATTTTCGTTCTTTAAAGGGACTATTTTGGTTCCTCTTTAAAGATTTGAGGGATCAACATTATTCTTTAATATAGTTGGAGATAATTTCGATCCTTCATAAAAATCAATGAATCATTTTGATCCTTTATAATAGAGAATGAAGATTTCATTCATAATGTTTTGATTTTTATTAGGTTGTGTTTTAAACTGATTGATATATAGAGTCCATATGTATTGTAAAATCTATTTTATAATGGTCTCTTCTTTAATTGGAATTTGCCAATATCTAGACTTGAGGTTAATTTTTGAAAAAATAAGCTCCTTCGTACAAGCGATTTAATATATCTTTCTTGTTTGGATAAAAATTTCAATATATTTTAAACCCTATTTAGTTGTTGATGACTAATAGCCAATCTTGATATCAAATCCATTTTATCTTCTTTCTCAGTATTATTAAACACAAAAATGTTATAGAACTCCTTGGGGAATATGATTTTGAAATTATTTTTTAAGTAGAATTCATACCAGTAGATTCTATTTTTATTATTACATAATTTCATGTAGAAAAGGGTAGAATATCTTTCAAAGGAAAGAAATTTGTAGGTATAACAATATAATTTTTAGACATTGATGTTTTAAATAGTTATATTTAATAATCATCTTATTCCCATTTGTAGAGGTTAAGTTTTGGTAAGTTGGTTTTCCTTGCAAAATATTTAGAAGGCTTAATATATTCTGGCTGCACCCCTGCATCTGATGCTGTTTAAATTTTTAACTATATAACCTTGATTATTAATTAGATTAAATGCAATAAATTTTTTATGCTTATTAACCTTTTTAAGAGTTTTAAGTATTTTAATTTAACTAATTGTTCTTCATTTTGAGAATTTAACTCACGTGTTATTTGATCTATTGGACCTTCTAAATTATGTTTTTAATGAATAATTCATTGATTTATACTTGAATGCTCTTTTTAAAATTGTAAAATTTCTTAATTCAAATTATTGATTTCACTTTAAAATCAATAATAATTATGGTTATTTTACATTGTTAATTAAATTAACTCGTTCATAAGTCTTTTATTTACTTCTTTCATACTATAAGCCTGTATTTTTTTTTCTTTTCTTTATCTATGAGAATATTTATTTATTTATTTTGTTTAGTTTAACGTTGAAAAAAAATCCTAAAGTAGTCTTCAACTGTATGTGTGTTGTTAATCTTGGCTAGATATCACATTTCTGCCATTTTAGTTTCCCGGTTATACAAATTCTTCCCAAATGACCCCTTAGTTAGAAATTGACGAAAATTGGAATACAAACTTATTCTTAATTTAGTCCATAGACTATAGAAAATTGATCGCAATTTGGTTTCTAAGGGACTATTCGAGATCAATTTTGTATAATTGAATGACTAAATTGGAGTGACGTAATATTTAAATTGACCACATATAAATAGGCAATAGATTATTTTGGGATATTTTCTTTTTAAATTCGGATACTTAAGCTAAAATTTTCATTAAATCTTCTTTTTTGGCTACCGGTTAGGGAATATAAAATATTCATTTCTATAATGACTTTATAATAAGTAGTCTGTGAACAATTTCATAGCAATCATTACCAAATTTTGAGCCCAATAGGTTTCAGATAATTTAAATTGTCTGTTTTACTAAAATTTGATTCAAAATGAATTAAGCAGATTTCATTAGAGTTTGAATTAATCTTCATCAATATCTAGTTCATTTAACTTTTGTTGAACTATGCTCGTATTTTCATAATGC